CCTGTTTATAATTGCTCAATAATGATACTCTGTTTGTGCACTGTCTGCGGGTAAGTTGCATTGATGTCAACTGATTAAACAAGTCGCGTTTAAGTAATTTCCACTATTAACAAGTGGTTAAATTGTGACAATAAATGTGTGGACAAATATTTGAGATTAATTTTGGTGTAGACAACTCGTTTAATTATTTTACACCATTACAAGTTGTTAAATTGAGAAAATAAATTTCTCAACAAATATTTAATACTTATTTTGGTGTAAACAACTCGCGTTTGATTAATTCCCACAAATACAAGTTGTTAAATTGAGACAATAAATGTGTGGACAAATATTTAATACTTATTTTGGTGTAGACAGCTCTTGTTTGATTAATTCCCACAATTCCAAGTTGTTAAATTGAGAGAATAAGTGTGCGGACAAATATTTTAGACTTATTTTGGTGTAGACAGCTCTCGTTTAATTATTTTACACCATTACAAGTTGTTAAATTGAGAGAATAAATGTATGGACTAATATTTGAGTCTTATTTTGGTGTAAACAACTCGCGTTTGATTAATTCCCACAAATACAAGTTGTTAAATTGAGAGAATAAATGTGTGGACAAATATTTAATACTTATTTTGGTGTAGACAGCTCTTGTTTGATTAATTCCCACAATTACAAGTTGTTAAATTGAGAGAATAAATATGTGGACAAATATTTTAGACTTATTTTGGTGTAAACAACTCGCGTTTGATTAATTCCCACAAATACAAGTTGTTAAATTGAGAGAATAAATGTGTGGACAAATATTTAATACTTATTTTGGTGTAGACAGCTCTTGTTTGATTAATTCCCACAATTACAAGTTGTTAAATTGAGAGAATAAATGTGTGGACAAATATTTTAGACTTATTTTGGTGTTGACAGCTCTCGTTTAATTATTTTACACCATTACAAGTTGTTAAATTGAGAGAATAAATGTGCGGACAAATATTTTAGACTTATTTTGGTGTAGACAGCTCTCGTTTAATTATTTTACACCATTACAAGTTGTTTAATTGAGAGAATAAATGTGCGGACAAATATTTTAGACTTATTTTGGTGTAAACAACTCGCGTTTGATTAATTCCCACAAATACAAGTTGTTAAATTGAGAGAATAAATGTGTGGACAAATATTTAATACTTATTTTGGTGTAGACAGCTCTTGTTTGATTAATTCCCACAATTACAAGTTGTTAAATTGAGAGAATAAATATGTGGACAAATATTTTAGACTTATTTTGGT